GGCGACCCCGGTGGGGAGGTGGGAGAGAGAGGGGGGAAAGGGAGGGGAGAAAGGAAGGAAAGAAAAGGAAGGAAGGGGAGAAAGAAGGGAAAGAAAGAGAAAGAAAGAGAGAGGAAGAAAAAGAAAGAGAAAGAAAGAAGGAAAGAAAGGGAAAGAAAGGGAAAAAAAGAGTGAATAGCTGAACATGCTGTAGATTTGCCCATTCTGCTGTTTTTTTCTGTTCGATTGCAGCCTAGATTTTTATTCGCTATGCCCCTTTGGAAGGAGCTCACTATGACAGGGCAGAGTCTGAAGGCTTTATCTGAAGCTAATTTTGAAGACAATGAGATCAGCATCAACGTTGGAGGCTTTAAGAAAAAGATGAGATCCAACACATTATTAAGATTCCCCGAGACCAGACTGGGCAAACTGCTGAGCTGCCATTCAAAGGAGTCGATACTGGAGCTCTGTGACGACTACGATGACACCAAGAATGAATTTTATTTTGACAGGAACCCTGAGCTCTTCCCTTACGTGTTACATTTTTATAACACCGGCAAGCTCCATGTGATGGGTGAACTCTGTGTGTTTTCTTTCAGCCAAGAGATTGAATACTGGGGAATCAATGAATTCTTTATAGACTCGTGCTGCAGTTACAGCTACCATGGGAGGAAAATGGAGCCAGACCAGGAGAAATGGGAAGAACAAAGTGACCAGGAAAGTACCACCTCGTCTTTTGATGAGATTTTGGCTTTCTACAATGATGCCTCTAAATTTGACAGACAACCCTTTGGAAACGTCAGGAGGCAGCTCTGGCTTGCTTTGGACAACCCTGGTTACTCAGTCTTAAGCCGAATCTTCAGTGTCCTTTCAATAGTGGTGGTGCTGGGCTCCATCGTGACCATGTGCCTGAACAGTCTCCCAGACTTTCAGATTGTGGACAGCAATGGGAACCCTGAGGAAGACCCTCGGTTTGAAATCGTGGAACATTTTGGTATTGCATGGTTCACTTTTGAACTGGTGGCAAGATTTGCAGTAGCTCCTGACTTTTTAAAATTTTTCAAGCATGCCCTGAATCTGATTGACCTCATGTCTATCCTCCCATTTTATATTACCTTAATTGTCAACTTGGTGGTGGAAAGTAGTCCAACTTTAGCAAATTTAGGTAGGGTGGCACAAGTCCTGAGACTCATGAGGATCTTTCGCATCTTAAAGCTTGCTAGGCACTCAACAGGTCTCAGGTCTCTTGGAGCCACCTTGAAGTACAGCTACAGAGAGGTAGGGCTTCTTTTACTTTACCTCTCTGTTGGCATCTCCATTTTCTCAGTAGTGGCTTATACCATTGAAAAAGAAGATAACGAGGGGTTAGCCACCATCCCTGCTTGCTGGTGGTGGGCTACGGTTAGCATGACCACAGTTGGCTATGGAGATGTGGTGCCAGGGAGCACTGCTGGCAAGTTGACGGCATCTGCATGCATCCTAGCCGGTATCCTAGTGGTAGTGCTTCCTATTACCCTGATCTTCAATAAATTCTCTCACTTTTATAGGCGTCAGAAGCAGTTAGAGAGTGCCATGAGAAGCTGTGATTTTGGTGATGGCATGAAAGAGGTTCCATCAGTCAACTTAAGGGACTACTATGCCTATAAAGTTAAATCCCTTATGGCCAGTCTTACCAATATGAGCAGGAGTACACCCAGTGAACTGAGCCTGAATGATTCACTGCATTAGCACTCAAGTTTGACAGCAGTTTGCATGAGAGCTTTCAAGAGCTATGTTTATAAATGTTTTCCTATTTATCGTCTTCTTTTTTCCTAGAGGATAGTGTTGCTGACACTGCACTAACTTTGCACTTGAAAACCTAATGAAATTTGTATTACAAGTTGAGAGTTTGCACATTTTCATCCTGTTGCATACATACTAAATGCTGACTTTTTCATACAACTGTTACCATGTCCATAACAGTAGTGCTAGCAGTATAGTGATAATTTGTTACTTTGTGCATTTGCCATAGAAACCCTCATTTGAACAGAGACAGGAACTTACCCAAGTGGAATAAAAGTTCTCAGCTGTGAAACTAATAATGAACAAACCACCTATCACCTATACTGGTATCTGTAGTAGTTCAAGAGCATCTCAAGACGGATGTAGGACTTCCAATGTATTTTAAAGCATGATGATGCTGCAGTTTTAGAAAACACCTGTGAATCACTAACATGGGAACGTGTTTCCCCACCTTTCTGACTGGTAATTCTTATCGTCACATGTCCATAAACACCTCCAAGCCTCACATTTCACGGATACTTGCTTACTCTTGAGCAAATGTCTTAAAAATGGGATGTTATTCTTTTGAAATGGTACAGATGGTAATATTTTTCTGAAGGTCTTAAGCATAGACCTACCTCTGTTTCCAAGATTAGGTCCGTACTGAGCATTCTGGAGAAGATCACTGCTCATTTCCAGACAGCTACATATTCAAAGACTACATTTCCACAAGTGGCTGCAGTTATGGAGGCCCATGAAAACATCTCAGGCTTCCATTTTCAGAGGTTACGAGCGCATAGCTTGGTTCCAGTGAAGCTAGAGATACTCAGTGTCAGTCCATCAAAATGGGTCTGAGATTAGGCACATAAATATGTAGGTTTTCAGCAATGGGAAGTACCCTCGGAAAACTTGGATTTGTTTAATGAAGAGATATATTCCCACATGAACAGTGCAGGCAGCATTTTAGAAAATGACATTCATATACTGCAAAAAGACTAATTATAAAGACACCATATGTGATCCTGAGATATAAAATCTAATTTTATCAGGAAAGCTTGAAAACAGGTGTTGAGGGCAGACAATTCCATTAAGGTTTCTGCCAAGGAAACTCTAAGGGGGAGAAAAAACTGTAAGTCATATTTTTACTTAGAAAAGAACGCACAACTTCCAACTAACAAAAAGTACCAGGGCCTAAGAAAAAAATCGATAAAGCGCCTAATACTTTATTCACTGTGGGCAGATTCTCCTCCTAGCTGGTTCAATGACTCAGTCAATTTAAACCCTCTCAAAGTCTGGACTGTACTTTTTCAAGTCCTTTAAAAAATGAGAGAGCAGATCACCTGTGTTCCCAAGAATAACCATGAATCCGCATAAACTCTTCAATGATCTGTCTTTTCCATTATGTAATTGTGCAGACATCAAACACTCACAGCCAACAGGCAGAATGCACTGCTGTCCTTTTTTTTTTTTTTTTGTATTTCTAGTGATTTGTGTTATGAAACAAACTACTAACACTCAGTGAACATAATGGCTTTTCTGTTCAACTTTTTTTCCATCCAATTTATTACATATAGTGTTCCAATCTTTTTTTGTTACTTGTGAAGATTAGAGAGGTTCAGAAAATAGATTTAAACTAGTAGGAACAAGAATTAAAACAATAAAGCTAAAATTGTCATGTTTGGAAGGCTATGCTTGCATACCACAACTAAGAGTGGTACTTGAATACAAGTAGCCCAACTAGCAGATTAAAGCAAATTTGGTACGAACAGGTAATTTCCTTTATCAGACTACTAGAGGTTGTTGTCCAGTCTGGATTTTTTGATGTTGTTGTGGTATCAGCTCCACTTGAAAACAGAAAATTGAGCACCCAGGATCAGATTCCTGTATGTCCAGTGACCTATCACAGATTGCACAATGTGAATTAACTTAACCACACATAAAATTTCCTTTGAACACCCTTCCCTCACATCAATTAGCAGTTGATTTAGGGCATAAGTTGTGAGGGAAACAGATCCCTTTTAACCTCACCAAAATAAAATTCTTAGAGATTTTAACATAACTTGCCAGACCTATAAAGTCAATAGGCAAGAAGGGTGCTTAGTATCCCTGAAAATCAGCGAGCTATATACCTGTTCCTGAAGCTAGGCTCAGGTAACCTGAATTAGGCATCCAAACTTGAAATGTTTTGTTAAGGCTTCACTTTTGGAGAGCTGGTTCAAATCCTCTGCTGGATCACAGGTGTAAGTTCGTGATCGTCTTGTTCGTCTTGTTCGTGTCTCTCACTGCGCTTGTGTAAATTATCATACACTTGGGAATACCCACCAAATGCAGCACAGCACTAGGTTGGCTGTCAGACTGAAATACCTTGAAAGAAATAAGAGAGGGAAAAGATGGGCTTGCCAGACACCCACACCCCTGTTGGGATGAAGTCTGCAAGAGCAGCAAAAATCTCCTACTGATGTCAAGGACACTGCAATCCTTGCTAGGTCTGTTGGTTTGGGACCTACAGAGAATTTAGCTCTAAGCAGTGGTTTTATTTCAGTTTCACAAGCTGCAGATTCACAGAGTTTAAAAACAATGCCTTTCAGGGCAGTTATTTGAAGAGGTCTATAAACTTGCCAAAGAGTCACGAATTCCTTCAGCTGTTGCTAGTTTAGCATTGCAAAGGTTGGATCCAAACTTTGCAACACATCATTTCAATAACCTATAGTTTATCTTACATTGTAGATTTATTATTCATAGGGCTGGTGCTCTGTCATTTCTGCAAATATTGACTGGAACATGTCCAAATTGCATTTTACTAAAGAAAATGAAATACCCTAAGGAATCATGACTTTTATTGTACTGGTTGAAAGGAATTTTCATTATTGCTTTTTTATATAAGTGCTTTGGATCAAAGACACTAAATAAATACAGTACTGAAATTTAATATGTTCTCATTATCATGACAATGACTTTATGCAGTACATAGGAATTCCCTTCATAAACTTAACTAACTCCATGTTAAAAGTAGTCAGATATTTGCTCCCACTATTTTGGAAGAGTATTCCAGAACCGCACTGCCCTCCAAGAGTTGTGTAATTTTTAGCACAATTTTATTAATAGCTGCTTTATATGAAGTTTTTCTCATGCCAACATTGTTCTTTAGCTTAAGTAATTCCTCTTCTTCCTTGGTGTTTGCCTGTGTAGTGTAGGCAGCAACCATATGCCCTTATAGACTTATTTTCAAGGGGTATACCTGCCAAGCTCCTTTTAGTTTTTATTTTGCAAGTCTTGTTCCCCTGATCATCCTAGTAGCTTTTTTTTTCTGAATTCATTCTGATTAAATTTAATCTTTCTGAACCAGCATTGCACAGCATTGTATCCTGTATGAGTTCTCACTACAGCTTTGTACAATGGTATTAATACTTCTTTGCTATAGAAATTTTCACTGAGGAGGATGACACATATATTCTGATTTAAGTGATGTTGCTGTCTTAAATCTCTGAATACATCTAGGTAAGAAAGACTAAGGCACACCCTTCCTGCCATTTTATGAAGTAACCTCTATTGTAAGGCTCAGTCCAATAAGTGCTGAGAATCCTCACCTCTCATTAAATAAAAGTTAAAGAAAAATTTTACCTTTAGAAGGAAAAATTCAATATCCAAAAAGTCTTAATGAGAAGAGGCAGTGTACTTTTTGAATAGTCAGCATTTTTGCCACACTTTTTAAAAATCACTGGTTTATAAGAGCAAGGCATGTCCAAAAAAATAGTAGGCCAGAATTTAAAGATTAGGGACTAATTGGCAGCTTTCTCTGGCATTTGAAACTTGAAAATTGTCATGGTCAGAAATCTGCTTCCTCTAGACATGCAGTTTAATGAAGAACATTGCACTTGGTACACGCTCCTCCTGCCTGGTGACCGTCACCTTTCTGGCATCACTGAAAATGCTGAAACATGCTCCTACTACTTTGTTTAGGCTGAAAGCTTTGAAGTGCTTAAATAAGGACTATGATAATGCTTGAAATGAGGGGACTTACTTTATTGCCAGAAATAAACTGTTACAGAATCTTGATTTCGAGTACAAATCAAGGCTACTATGGAGACTGAGATGTCCTTGAGAAGCAATATGCTATACTACCTGCTTGAGATGTAAAATCCACATATAGATTGTGATTAAGCATTTCATGTATGTTCAGATTTTGTATTATTGCCCATTTTATTATTCACATATTTTTCATGAATTGCTAATTCTCCTTCCCTGCAGAATATCTTACCCATTTTGAACGCAATTAGGTTTTTCTTTGCACAGTACAGTATGATCTATTTCACACTGCAGGCTTAAAAACAAAGAAATTTGCATTTAGTTTTCAATTTTAATACCTCAATATTTGTATCTATTTGCACAGAATTTTATGAGATTGCAGGGGACTACTGTATCTGGTGTCCTTTGAACTCCATATCTTGTTCCAGTGGTGTGCAACACACTCAGGAATTCAGCCTTGGGCTATTAAATGCAAAAAAAAAAAAAAATTAAAACCCTACATTTCCACAGCACTGATTTAAATTTTGAGATATTCTCAGTATATATTATAATTGAAGAAAAGCCTGGATTTCACTGTGAAGATAGATTTCTTTTAAAAGGATACATCAGGCTACCTTTTTATAAATACCTTTAATTGGTGCGGGGGACCCACATTTTTCAGCTGAGCAAATGGCACAAGCTTCTTGTTCTTTACCTCATAGATTAGGGAATAAGCAACATACCGATAGCACTTTCAGGTGCTAAATCAATTTGATGTGACCTTTCATCTCTTTCAAAACAAATGCCTTCCTAGAGGCTCCAGCTGTGCACATATAAGCAGCAGAGCACCTCTGGAGCAACTGCTCTTGTTGTGCTAGTTATTCATTTCCTCTCACAGTATTCCTGGCTTTAATCTACATTTGATGGTACTTTCAAATGACGTTCATCTTGCAGTCACCACTCATATATCTCAATGAGACGTGTGCCAGAACTATTCTCTTCTCATCATGTTATTCTTCATTCTTTTCCAATTTATCCACCTGGCTTTCCCTAACTTACACTAGAAATTTATTTGTTCTCCTGCCTCTTACTTTCAAGCTGCCCACAATTTAGGCAGAGATAGGAAAACATTCCCATCCAGTTTCTGAACCATCTTCCATGGATTATGCCTTTTTCCTTAAAAAAGAAACAAACAAACAAACAAACAAACAAACAAACAAACAAACAAACAAACAAAAAGACAATGCTCACCCAAGAATAATTTCTTAGGTTAACAAGAGGTAATATATTATCTAAAGCAACAGTTCTTTACTTAATTGATTAAGAGATAGCCTTAATGATATATGTGCCACCAGAGCAATCGTTGAGTTTCTTAAGAAACACCACCCTCATCAAGGATTGCTGATGAGAGTACCTCTCATATCCAAAACTATGGGTCACCAACTGGAAGAGGCAGCCTCCAAACAGCCTAGGAAACGATTCCTAAGATAGTATAACACTCATGGTGAATGCCTGGTTCTTGCATGTATTTCTCTTGCTAGTACAGAGGATGGAGAATTGTCTCACAGGTGCTGAGACTCAAACTGACCTCCCAGTGGACACAACAGAAATGTGTTTGCCTTATAGCTGCTCAGCCTTTACACACAACCTTAAATCATGTAAGTTTTCACTTTAATAAATGCATCCATCTGGCTATAGGAGGCAATGACACAAATTCAACACTTCAAGCTCACAAAAGTAGAAAAGCCATCAGCACCTCCTACTCTTTTTCCTTTCAAACTACCAATGGGTTTTGGCCTCTTGCTGAACCCTATTCAGAAATAATCAGGGCCATGTTTTGCAGGGATTGGGCAAAGCCTGCTATAAATCTGCTGATTTCTTCTGTGCATCTAAACCTGGCACTGTAAGAGTAATGTCCGCTTTGAGATGCCCAATGCAGTGCCTGCTTGTGGTCACCACATGCCCAGGAGCTGTGCGCAGTGCACGAGTCTGTGCAGTTCTGGCCAGACTAGGCTAGTGACAACGTTGTTGACCTTCAAAGATGACTTTTAATCACATTTGGAAGATTACGATTACTCAGATGTCACAGTCTGCTTACCAGCAGCCACTGTTCTCCCCATTTTAAGTCCTATCCCTCTTGACTGACCCTCTTGAGTTGTTGGCTGTATTCTGATACGTGGTATGCCTGCTGCCCCCATTACACATGACGAATGGGTGGCGTGGTAGGGTCACAACACAGAAAAATGAGGGGTCGGAGTTTGAAAATGAATCATCTGACTTAGGAATGTAAGTCCCGCCACCTTTCAGTGGAAGTTATCCTCCTAAACGTCTAGGGTATTCTTGAAATTCACATTCTATTTTAAGCAATGTTCTGAACATATACAACCTAGCATAGCTCCATTAAATACCAGCCTTTTGATTACCAAATAAATTCTAATTTATTTCTATTATACCAGTGCCTAGGCACTGTGGATCTCAGGCCAGCACTTTCATATGTTAGGCTTTAAAGCACGGAAAAAGATAATACATCAAAAATGTGGTTTACTTTGGGGGGAAAATCCTTTCCTCTGTGTTGTCTCATTCTTTCTTCTCTCCATAGCAAGGCACAGCTTCCTACTGCCTCTGTTAGCATCAGCCTTTTTGAACTTTTTGATTCCTATCCTGAAAACATGAAGGAGCCCTGAATGTATTTTCCTCTGGTGAAGTGGCACTTGGCATTCACTGGGGGAGAACACTTTAAAAAAGACAATCCAAAATAAAGCAGGTGGCACTTGCAAGTACCTGCTGGAAGAGTAGGTCATTGCTTCTTTAATTCCCCTGTTTGCTTCTCCCTCTCTCACGCACTTTCAGCAGGGAGGCAAGGCAGGCCACCGAAAGAGGAACATCTCAAACTGTCCAAGTCAAGAAGCAGCTTCTTTCTGATCCTGCTATGTTCAACCTGGCAGGTGAGCTAGCAGGTTGGACAATACTTTTTTGCGTGACACTTCTCCACTGCAATACAGGAAATTCTTTATAAATATGGGGCAATGTTGCTCACGCTTTAAGTGGCAGGCATGGGCAAAGATGCTCGGAGCACAGAGCCTTCCTTATTCCTTTGTGGCCAGCCAGGGCAGCCCCACTCCTGGCTCCTACCCCAGCTGTAGTGGCAACATCTCCAGCCCCTACAGCAATTTTCTTTGGGCTGTGGGCAAGCGTCCTTCGCTTCCTCCCAGCCCAACCTGCCTGAGTTGGGCAACAGAGCTCTCTCGTCAGATCAAAGCCCTGGGGACAGCACTGAAATCACTACTGTGCCCAGCAGGCACAAGTCTTTCTGGGAGTAGGATGTGACAGGTGCTTCTAGGTGCACTGGACGTCTTAAGTGACTGCCCTTTAGATTCAAAGAGAGATCAATGTAGACCTACCAAGAACATAGAAGAGAAGGGCCACGTGCTTTGATGGACAGTTAATGTTTCCAGAATCAAGATATCTCGGATATCTGACAGTTTTCCTTCCTCAGAGAACACAATTAAAAGCAAAATGCACTTTTCCATCAGCAAAAAGTCACAGTGAAAGAAAGATCAGTCTACTTGGTCTTGAGCTTTTAAAATAAAACATTAATCCTATACAGACTAGAACAAACAAACAAACAAACAAAGAATAAATCTGAACAAAAGCAAAGCTGCAGCTGAAACAGCGCTCAGTGTGTCTCCTTACAGGACAGCCATGCCTTGCATGGCTGAATTTAGAGGTCTGGACCAAACATCTGAGGTTGGTTCCCCAAAGCGGAGATTCCCCAAATTTTAAGCATAGAGTGTTTATCAGAGATGCAAAGCGTGGCCTTGTCTCACTGATGGCAGCAGTAGGAATGGGAGCTCTAAATACGAAATTGTCAGCCTCCGTATGCGGGGGGGACGGGGGAGAACAGGGGGAGGTGAAGCAACCGTCGCCCAAGCACGGCCAGCGTTTCTGTCGCTTGCTGTGGTGCACGAACATCAGAGCTGCTCAGGCACAGTCAAGACTGAGTAGGCTCATTTCCATCGATCGGGACAGAAGGTGGCACATGGCTCAGAAACACCAGAATGATCTCTTCTTAAATATAACTTAATCATTATTCCTTGTTCCTGAGTGAAGAGCTGAGCTAAACACTTTAGTTCAGCATCTGTCTACAAAATAAATTATTAGTCAAACACTTTGCTAATAAGACTTCCTCCTACTTGAGCTGCAAGATAGAACCCAACTATTGTGCTTTTTGTGGAGGCAGTAACTGTAGAAAAGTGCTATGAGATGTATAAAAATTGTGTCAGTTGATGAGCTGAATAAATGAATGTTAACCACATTTAAAAGGCTTTAAACTTCTACCCACTCTTGGAATAAATTTGCATTAATTGTTGGGATGTGGGGCTACTGTATTGCCCATCCTACAACCATAAAAATTCTTAATTCTTTATCCCAATAATTACATATTTTGGGGCTGTTTAAACACCTGTGTGTCAACAAAACACAGTTATAATTACTCTTTAAATAGAAGGAACAGGTTTATCAAATCTAATACAACACTACTGCCAGCAATTTCAGGCAGATTACACTGCAGAATATAAACAAACCTGATAGCTACCGGATTTCTGAGCAGTCATTGCTGGATATTCATGCTTAGTACAACAGGCTGTTAAGAAAACACTCCAGGGTTATAGTCCATCCATACCTGCTGGTACATACCCATAGCTGGTTACTAAATTACTTTTGGTAGTTTCAGAGTTTCTAACAGGATTACAGAGATTCTTGGAATGAAGAAAAGCAACATTTCAGAAGCACCACTGCATTTATTAAAAACCTGAACCAATACTTCCTGCATTATAGCCTTCTGTTCACTTTTCAGATGTAAATTGGATTTGCATTAAGCAATTAGATATGTATACATGTAGATAAACATATGCATATAATATAAATCACGACATTATTGAATATCAATATAGTCATCGTATTATTCTCTGGATGATTTCAGAAATTTCATTCTGTAAAGATCAACTAACAGAAAAAAAAGTCTTTCTGGACTTTAGGAAATGCCAAAAAGATATTTTATTAATTGTATTTCTAAGCACAGAGTTTGATCTGCTTCTGCATTTTTAACACAAAACATTTAAAAAAAAAAACCCTCGTCTTCTTCCATAGTTTCAGCAGGGAAAGGCTATATAACAAATACTTCGTTCTGAAAATAAGGCCTGAATTTGAAAAAGAATCTCATATATTTGGATATGGTTGCTAAGAAAAATGGTAATGCTACTTAATCCTCCTTCAAATAATCTCTGACCTACATAATCTCTGGACTATGACACCTGCTTTCACGTGCCACGAGAGATCAAAAGGACACCTCTTGCTGTTAAGTCTGTATATCCTATAGTACTGTAATAAAAATGAAATATCAATTGATGCATCACACTAAAGGCTTAGTGTCAGATAAATCAAATCCAAAGCTTTTGGTCTTCCTCTTTGATGCATTCGCTGTGAGTTTTTTTCCTTAACAGTAACCATGACAGCTTTGGAAGTACACGAGGAGTGCAGAGCTGCAGAAAGAGCTTAGGAGGGAAAAGAGTAGAGCTGCAAACATCTGAGTGCCACGTACATCTACCCATGAGACAGTTCTCGCAGAGACCAAAAGTGACCGAAAGAATGAACAGGGTCAGAGGGTGTGTTTGTGGGTGTGTATATACACACACCTGTGTACGGAAAGATGCACTGAAGGGTCAGTTTCCCCTGTCCTTGAGGGGAGAAACATGATTAGGAGGGCTATATTTCTCTCTTGGAATTGGATAGGCAGAGATTTTGCAATATATAATCTCTCTCTTCAGAAGAAACATCCACATGGAGCAGAGTCCAGATCTTTATAGTAAAGAATCTGTAGTTTCATTCTCTTTACAAAGGAAAACATATATACAGATACATTATCTTGCATATTTACAAATTCAATTTCTACAGTCCTGACACTTAAGAAAGAAAATTTTGAAAGTCCTTGGGGTTTGCCATACCTGGGTAAAAACCATTAATGTGTTTCACCCACTGTGGGTGACAGAACAGTCAATGTTTGAGCTCAGATTCAGGTGATGTTAATTCCTGCCGATTCTTTCCTGCTGGCTGGCTCCAGGCAGCTCCCTGCTTACTGCCCAATTTATGCCCTCTCAAATCAGCTGCAGCTCTTAGAAAGGCCTATTTTCCCTGAACAAGTACTGATACCAGGCTAGAACTTAAAGTGCTGGCCTACAGCACATGCAGACTTCCTGCCCTCACTGTTACTTGTAGCAAAGCTAAACCCACCGCCTACAGCGAGAACTTGAGAGGCCTAGGGAGAGCACGACTGGACTGAAAAACAGCATCGCGCAGCATCTGGAGCAATCATCGGCTGACCCTTCTGCTATGTTGAGATTGTTTCTTAAGGGCCGCTAAACATTTTCTGGTACCTCCCTATAAAAATAGGCACAAGGAACCTTTTCCTTTCTAAGGGCTAAGTACAATTTTCAAATGGCTTCCCTTGGCCCTGCCTACGTCTGCACCAGTAGCTACGGCTATGCTGAATTCCTGCCAATGGAGCAAAGTCGGATCAAAAGCCATTTGCCCCGTAACTGCGGCCTGGTCCCTGAAACGGTAAGCTGGCTCCTGTAAGGCTTCCCAGACCAGAATCGTTGGTTTGATGCTGATCAAGCGTCCAGACTCCTGCTACCTCCCTTGGTGGCGAGGTGAGTATGGGGTGGTTTGCTCCCCTTTGCTCATGCACCACTTTGCACCCCTTCCTCTCACCTCCCGGGAGCCTGGAAGCCCCTGCCGCAGCAGGGAGGGACTGGAGAAGCAGAGGAGGGTGATAACAGTTTCCAGTGGGGCACAGTGTTTATAAGATAATCTGACTACAGGATCCAGCTCATCCAGCCCTCCTGATAGAACTAGCTCTGTCCATATCTGCCGAGGGCTGGGGCGTGCAAAGTCTCTGCCAAAACAGCCATCATCTGCAGTTAACTCCCTCCATGGGCCCAGATGGCAGTGGGGCAGAAAGGAGGAAACATGTAAATGGGAATCCTTTTCCATAAGGGAAACTCACTAACCAGAGAAAGGAAACACACTCTGTGAAGAAAAGATATTTTAAAACAAACTTAATGGGTCACATCCCCAGTGCAACTTAATGACTTTACAAAGAACCATCAGTGCAACTTTGCCTTCTCCAAAAAGGAATCAGCTATTATGTCACCTGGCACAAAGATGCGGCAAGAAACTCCACACGCTACCAAAGACTTGTCTTCTCTGAGGCTTTCATTGGCAAGAGCGGGCATAAGACTGTTGCAGCATATCCCAGCAGAGAAAATGCCCTGAGCCAATTTCCCAACTAGCTGTATGACATTACAGAACATCCTTCCTTGTTTTCTGAAGTGCAGAAAAAAAAAAGCCACAGTAAGGTGGAGCCCTTAATATTTATGAATGCAAAGAAATAAAGGCTTTCCTCATGTTGTAAGGTCTTTTTAATTATAGTTTTATAACCAAGTATACACTTAGGAATTGTAACCCTCATCATGTCACATTCTGATAAAGCAGCGTGCACACGAAGTGTTTGACAGCGGTTTTACAGCATACGTTCCGTTTGGGAGCACCAGCGCCTAGGAAGGGTCACTAACGTTAGCTGTCTCCCGTACTCGGGCACTGAGCCATTCACAACCAGCCGTTTCTAAGCTCCACGTACGGTGCAGATGAACGGAGAAGCAGTCTGCGCCATTGCACATTATGTTCTCTCATCTGAATCTACCTGGGCAAATACAGACAAGCTATTATTTATTGTGGATAAACAGTAACTAATTATAATCTCCAATAACTGTCAGGTTAATCCATATTAGCAGTAGAATTTTGTCACGTCATATATACTGTGGTTCACTGAGGAGTTTGGTTCATGAGACCCTTTTACTAAAGGGTCTTTATGGACAGATTCTTAGAAAAGAGTGAATAATTTTAAAAAATCTGAAGAGATATGGGCTATGGCACCAAATTTAAGTAATTATAAGCAGCAGCTTTCCCCAGTGCACACTTTCCATCAACTATTGTTCTCACTACACTAGAAAATCAAAGGTGCACCTAAAGCTGCTCGTGTCTGCTAATACCTCCGAGTAAAGGGTATCTATCAATACCTCCAACCTTCACCATGCTGGGGTACTGCTCAGCTCTCTCGGGACTAGGCCTTTAGCAAGCTTAGACTGCAGAGAGGGACTTCTACACGATATTGAGGATTTCTGTCCTTAGACTGGCCTATTATTCTTTTCCACTATGATCCCCAGACTTCTGGAGCTTGCACCAGTGTCTTCAGGAGGAAAAAACCCTTCCAGATCTGACTTTTAGAGATGTGGTTTTCTGTGCTCACAGCTGAGCTCACAGTATTACAGAAAGGAAATTTAAGCATGACGGAAGGCTATGTAAATGAACTTTAATGGTTATTATTAACATAATTTAGCTTCACTTAGAATGAACAACAAGATGACAATTATATCTAAGAAACTAGTTTTTATTACAAATGTTTGGTAATTAATTATTTTTTCAAAATTTTTTTTTTCTTACTAACCTAAACAGACAAAATCAGAAGCAAACAAGAAAATACTAGGTTAAAATCTTATTGAAAGTTAACTTGTCAGTAGTTCTATTAGATTTGCTGCAAGTCTTGCTTTTAAAATATCTTATTTCACTGTCTGCTTTCCTTTACAGGAATGCTCATCCACCAGTGGAGATGTGTAGTCATTAATAGAGAGGATTTGATTCAGTTATATAAACAGAAGAAAAAACAAATTGTATCCATCTCTTAACACAAAACCTATTTCTGTATGTTATTCTTGCATCTAATTTAGAGCCTGATACGCTGGCTTCTGAAGCCAAGGACAGTTTTATACTGACTATAGTGTGCCATATCAGATGGCAATATTACTAATTTTATATCAATTGGTGGAAGTATTCTTTGGTCACAAACTTCCTGCATCCATCCAAGCTATGCAGAAGCTATTTTTCAGCCATTTTAAGTGGCCTGTTAGGCTTTTGATTTATTCCACTCTTTCAGATTTTTTTCCCGTGTGTATAATCCAGAGCTGTATGTATTCATGTGCACAAAATTTATTCAAATTGCTTCTATGCAGACAGATCAGGAGTAAAGAAAGCATGTCCCTCATCTTCTGATATCTTTCAGATGTCAGACTGCAACAGCTCTAGTCTAAAATGGCCTTTTACTGGAGTGCCTCTGGGTAGCTGTTTAATATTTAGTGCACTACATAGCAAAAATTTCCATAACACAAAACATGAAAATTGTGATCATTATACTACGCTGTATATTCTGCTGCAAAGCTACATTATTCAAAATCAGTGTCTTATCTTTGGTAGGAAAAGTTTAAGAGAGTAAGGGAAAAGACAGCTACTAATGACACAAGTAAGAGTGCTGGACAGTGACACTTTGCTTAGAAGGCACACCACCAAAAGACAAGTTACTTTTCTCTCCTGATGGTTTAAATCTTTCTGCTTTTCATATATTTGCTGTTGTATATAAACAATAGAGAGTTTCTGAAAACAGAAAGTTCAGAACTGGAAATGAATTTTAAATAAATAACTGTACTAATTGGGGGGCTTGCCACTTTTTTTGCTGCGTTATGATTATAATCAAACGACATGGTGATATGATTATACTGTTTTTTACTTGACATATTTCATTGTATAAATGTGAGGCATAAGACTACAAGGTGTCTTATCTTGCTTAAAATAATTTTTATGGATCTTCTGTGTTCTTGTTTCTTTGTAAGGGATGGTCATTATTTTAAAAAGTATAAAGAGAGCTGAGGATGAGGATGTTCTAATAATCGCAGTTAGAATTTATTTGACTCTGAGGTTTACATGTCAGAGCGTGGTGTGCACGCAAACACACACACAGAATGACAACGACAACAATGGCTGTAGACGGCTCAAAAGCAAATTCTGGTCCCACCATGGCTGTAACAGGCTGAACTGTTCAAATTTTTTTTTCCCTTTTGCTTAAACTCTATAATATACTGCACCGTCTCCAAAATCTGCACTGCTCCATCTGAATGGTCCACATATGATGACAGTAAATGCTAAGAGGTATGAGATGATTACTAACTTCCAGAAAATATTTAACAGAAGATGCCCATACAGTAGTCACCATTAAAAAATGAACAGCTGAAGGTTGCAAGTAAAGACCTTTTCAGCTGTATTGTTTAAAGTATGACTATCACAGTAAAATTAATTACACAAAAGGCAACAATTACAAAGATATCAATAGAGAACACAGTAGATTGTTCAGAAAGTGGATCACATTTTCTGCTAAGTCTGAACTATTTCTTGCAATGTGATAAATTCTACCTACTAGATATAACACAACATGAACCAGAGAGAAAAGCTGTAAAAAGAACTAAGGGCTTGATCCCGCCTTCCTGATTCCCCAAAATTTACCACAGAAGGCTACAGGAATTTTGAATGTTTTGTGGCTGCAGGACAGGACCCGCAGAGTACTGCAAAACGCTGCGTCTTCTCAGTGCTTCAGTATTCAGTTGATTTTGATTTTCTTTGGCTTTTAAATTACTATGCCTTAATGTCTATAACGTGAAACCAAACCAAACCAAACCACTAATAACTTCCTCTCCCCCCAAGATAGTGATAAAAAATTAAATGAACAAAAAAAAAAAATCCAAAAAGTGTTGCTGTTACTTCATTATAAAACTAGGGTGCAAAATAGGGTTTTCTACTGGTCAGAATTGCAATAGCAATTGGCAGTTTACATTGTAGGAGTCACTGCAATTATTGCTTCTCCTGAATTATTGTAAATCAAAACCGACTAGGCACTTGTTTTCCTGTTTAATGAGATCATTCAGTGTGCGTAAAGACGACAGAAATACTCTCTAAAAGAACGCTCTCTAGTGTAACAACTGTATCGCTCAACCGCAGCCACAGTCCTTGATTCAGGACAGCAGCAAGGCATGTGCCTATCATTTAGTTTATGCTTAAATCTTACTGATCTGAATGGACTGGATACGTGTTCAAGCGCTGTCCTGAATTAGGGTGCTTGCTGAAATTGGAGTTTCAGAAGACAATATAGTGGTGAGCTTTTTTTAATCATACTGCAACACCAATTTTATCTAATCTGACTCTGCTCTCCACTGTATTATCTTAATACTTCCTAATAAAAAAAGTAAACAGGCATAAAATAAATAGGATAACCAAAGATTACATAATAAATATGCTACTAAATGGAAGGAAAATATATTGCAACATAAGGCTCTGTAGTGTTGCACAATCAAGAAATAGTTCCAGGTGCTCCAAAACACAGCTCCTAACGTACAACACAAAATTGCCACCATACAGCTGAAAAAAGATTCAGAAGTAACAGACTGAACTTCTATTACATTAAACATTTGAAAATATAACAAGTGGTAATGTGTTTTACTGCCTCTGCAGAATACCATACATATGCTCTTCCACTGCTCCAATTGTCATCGTTTGTGAAGGAAAATTTGAAAGGTTGCATTTTTTTTTTTTTTTTTAAACTGCCATAATAGAATTCCTTCAGACTTACACAGTCACCAGTGTCCACACTGACTCATGACATTATCTCCAAAAGTAAAACAAACTCAGAAATTTTGTTGCCTCCGTTTCTTTGCATCCATCGCATCTAGGATAGGTTGCCTCTTTGCAGTGTATCTCTGACGAAGCTCTTCAATTTCTCGTTCCATCATAGGGTCCAAAGCTTTTAATCGCATCTGTAATTCTTCTAAACTTAGATTCTTTAACTGTAAATCAATCAATGAAAACAAACAAACAAAAAATTAATAAATATTTACAATATATATAAAAATATATATATAAATATTTTCATATATATAAATTAAATTGCTTAATCAAATACTTTTTACTGAATTTTAGTCTCCCACAGAGGTGTTAAGAAACAGACAACTGCTAAAAGAAATATTCTGACAAATATTTAGAAGTACTTTCTGGTAAGAATGACAAGGCACCTGTATTCCTCAAGGGACTGCTGCCATAACTAGCCAAAGAAATTGCCAGAGTGTATAAATAATACATGAAATAATTCCCTGAATTCATGGGAAGGAGTTAGCTTTGACCAAGCTCGTTTTTAGAAAGAAAAATTTTCTCACAGTGTTAATCAACTCATTACTTGCTCAGAACTTGCACAGAAATTAAAGACTGATGGGTCATTTACAAATAAATGGTCTCCCTGCCTTGCTGGACACTGCAAAGAAGACGGCTGGAATCTGGCCACCGAACGTGGCACTTCAGGCACTGCTGCCCTATCTGTTCTTGCATGGAAATATCTGCATTTGCAATTTGTTCCTTTGACTGGCCTATGTATTTTTTGCTAAGGAAATTTAGTGCCTCTCTGCCTTTTTATTTCTTGTCAAAGATTCACTCATTACTCTGTGTAAAATTGAGTATGACAAAAAGTGTGAAAGATATCAATACATTTCAAATAGCACATGGAATTTCATCCTAGGAAAGGGACGATCTATATTTTGTTTGCCAATATTCTGACACCGCAAACAAGCATGCCACTTGGAGAAAAAAAATGAAAACATTTTCTGAATCAACCCACTAATGAGTCAATACGTAGTTCACGAATCTAGGGCAATCTTCTATCAACACAGTCTGATCTGTTTTCCTTGAGGAACGCAATACTACTTTTGATCTGCATTTTTATCAGCAACTGAGGCATATAAGTTAGCAACACATATTGCTACATATAGTCCAAACACCAGTGCTATGGCTGCTACTAATATACTACACTGTACATAGTAAATGAATAACAAAGTCAGAAGACAGAGGGAGTAGAGATCAGAAATTCATAGAAGAACATATGGAAAAAGATGCCATTTTTCATGCAATGCGATTTTAATAATGAAATTCCTATGAACATGTGAATTAAGGGGAAGATATCTAATTAAGGCAAAATCTGCTCTTAATTCTACAAGGCCACCTCACAGCAGCAAATGTGCATCATTCTGCTGTTCCTTCAGAAGGAACCAGGTGAGGATGTTTATGGTCCCACAGCCAAGGGCAATCCCCCTTGCACTTGGCAAACAAATCAAGAAGTCAAAACACCTTCCAGGACCAAAGATCCTCACACCAGTATTAGCTTCAGAGCAATCTCACACGTGCTTAGTAGCTCATTGAGTAATATTTGTGTCTCCAAGGACAAATGACAACTTTGGCTTCTTAGGAAGGAAGGAGTTGCTTCCCAGATAATTAAATATCCTCTAGTTTGGTACGCTTCTCACATTTGATAAACGCGAGAAGGGATAGGGGAAAGGAATCATAATTCCTCAGTCACCAAGACTCTTACAGAAAAACGTGTTTCCATTTTCAGGGAAAGAAAGGAAAAAAATCAATTCATTTTTGGCCAATTGCTAAATATAACTGTTGCAATAAAGACACTTCTCACTGAAGATATGCTTTAGAGAAGTGTCAGAGAGATGTGCAGTATCACGGGAAAAGATCAGAGCGCCAATTCCCCTGTTTAACCAATTCCAAAGCAGCACATATGAGAGGAGCAATAAAACCATGTTTTCTAGCATGTATGAGAGGAGGAATGTATTTGGGGCACCACGGACTAGCAAATGGACTAAGGAAGGCACCATGCATAATTCTGTATGTGCACGCTGTGTGAGGACCGTTATTAACGAAGTCCGCTACCTCGTCTGGGCCAGACCAGCTACCAGCTCGAGTAGCCAGGTATCCCCTCTGATTCACCACTGTAGACATTAGGCTTACGCTATATGTAGTAGACTCAAACTCATGTGATTGCATAATTACTCTGTGTTGAAAAATATTTTGTATAAAGTGTCAGCGAGGAATGTGATGGGTGAGTTTTTATTTAAATTTCAATCAAGAAATGGAGACAGCAAACAGAATTAAATACTCTTTAAAGACCACAGGCAGCCAGGCTGGAAATTAAAGAGACTGAATTTTCAAACCCAGAAAACAAGCATCTTTCAGAATGATCTCAGTCACCTCACCCAGGGGGTCTAAGCAACTGCAATACTCATCTGTACCAATGCATAATGCTTGGGTCATTCAAAAGAAGTAAATGACAAGAAACAGGGAAACTATGAAACTGAAAAAAATGAATGTCTCACCTATCTGATATCAAATGCTGGATTAAATAGGAATGGCCGGCCATGGTGCTCTATGTACTACAGAAGACCACTTTATCCCACCGAAAAGCTGCAGGCCATTCTGGGATGTGCATGTGTGTGTGCCTCCACGGCAAATTTCAAAGTAATTTTTTCTTGACTTCCATCCATGCTATCAACATTTCCCAGTGAACCCTAGAGGCTGCAAAAGCCCAAACGCTGCACGCAACAACAGACTAAGGTCTCAAATGACATGTGGCAAAATAATTCAAGCAGGAAATTTAATTATTCCTATGCAGTTTAGTCCTCTGAATGATAAATAGCTTTTTATTTAATTCTTAATTCTAACAGAAATAATTTTCAATTTTGTAAGGTACCAATTTGATTTAGCTAATCAGTAAATATTTTGATTCCAATTCTTAAAGTGATAGAGCTAGACACTCTCATTTATTTCCAATTGCAAACAGTTCACAAACTGCCATAAATAATTTCCCACATAGCTTCCTGCCATAACTATTAGGGCTACCAACATTAATGGGAAGACCGAGTAGAGCGTTCAGCTGTGAAGGCTATAGGAAATCAGAAAGGCTTTATATGGTATTTTGATAGCTTTTTAAAAGCTGTAAAGTGTAGCACTTCAGTAATCAGAATAGAATTACCCTGAGGATGGTTCAATTCCTGCCACTCCAAATAACAGAAATAGTCTTCTCCCTTCTGAGATCAAATACCCGCCATCAAACACAAAACAATTAGTATCAGGATGAGCCACTCTTAAGATAGAGGCAGTTTTTGGTGAATGACGCTTCTGGTAAAAGCATTTCCTTTCACTGGCACCCTTCATATCACCTTGTAATCACATGGCTTTAGGGAAGCAAAAGGCCAAATTAGAGCATGTAGTAGCACGAATGCATCCATTACATACAGCAATATATAATATCCAGAAATAGATGAGTTTATCTGTTTTACACAAATCATCTTCTAAAGTGGGTATGCATACTCAGTTTTCCAGCAGAAGTAAGAGTGCAGAGGAAAAAAAATGTATATATTTTCTCCTGAAAGGTATGTTTGTTAATCCAATAACTGAAGAGAGAGGCACAATGCTAAGGGAAGAGGGAGCAAACAAAGCAAAGCAATCTCCAGAGCCAGACAATATTGAATAATTTCTTCTACAAGCTCAAGGATTCTCAAGCCATAGCTTCACCCAAACAAGTCAGAATGAAATTATCTACTCTGCTTTGCTGGACCAAAGGAAATGGATTTTGCTTATAAAGAGGCCAGCTGAGAGCTGCCCTCACAGAGGGAGCTCGCAGCAATATAAGCTGAGAGCCATCAGCTCCCTTCTCCTCTCACTGCTTTAGGGGGAAATCCTTGCAGTAGAAAGGTGCCCAAGCAGAAAGGAGCTCTGTCACCCCAGAGCTTCCTCTGGCTGAAGATCCTTTAAGCAATATCGATTTGAACTGAAGACAATCAGCACAAAATAAAAGCATAACTAAATTTGTTACTGTACTATACTCACAAGTTTTAGTAATAATCTTTAGAAAAGGCAACCCAGCCACACTGCTTAGGCTCCTCTTGGGAGCTAGGTAAGCGTGGAAACCCGGTACACCTTACCTCGGACTTTTTGCAAACGGCAGGCCAATCATTTGCCTCCTCCTGACCCATTCTTCAACTTACTGGTAATAGGGTTAGAGGCATTTCCAAGAAAGGCTACATACGTAAGTCAAAAAGCAGCAGAACAGATTAAGAAAAGTTTGCTAACAATGCTTAATGTGACCCTCTTCACTACTGAGATCTTAAGCTGGGATAGGTTAAAAACCCGAAGGTTGGGATTAGCCTGCAAGGCATTAGGCAAACTGAAGTTTCTACAGGACTTTGACAACCAATGACAAGATCAGAACACGTATCACAGCTATTAGCCCTCCAGAGATAGTTACACTTTCCTTGTGTGAAGGAGGAGGAAACTATTATTTGTTGAGGAGGCCCATCACTATTATTTGTAATTTTAGAAGCAGAAACGAGTTTGTAGCCAAAAAAAAATAATGTAGTATTATCATGCAAGGTATGTGGCCTGTAGTGCCCTTTAGCATTTCATCAGAAGATTATTTTCTATGCAGAAAATATTCTTATCCTTTGGGGTTTTTTGTTTTTGTTTTTTTAACGTGTCTTCATCAAACAATGACACAGAATGAATTCTTTCCTCACATACTCATGCGGTCGTCTTTCAGAACTAAACTCCAGCAAGTCAAATGAGACAACTTTTACTTTTTGGTTAGGCTTCAGCCTAACTTCTTGCATCCCAGGTGGACTAGCTTCATTTGGATCAGTATTTTCAGCAAATCAAAGAATAATTATTTGTAGCTAGTAATTCTTTTACCTGTAGGAGGAACCATACCATATCCTATATATTTTGCTTGCAACCATGGCCAAGTCATACTGAAGGAATTTCAGGCAAAAACGGGCAATTGGAAAATCTATACACATGCCTGCCTACAGGCTGGAGTTCTGTAGCGACAGCTAAGAAGGAAAGAGACAGCGTACGGCCAAAAAGGACCTTCAGAAGTCATCAAGTCAAGCGGTGCAATGCAAATCCTGGCTACTGGCTTTCACCTGTTCCCAGCACAAGAGTCAGGGAGGAGGAAACG